CACCTGCCAGCTATATGACTGAGCAAATGATTTAACTTTTACTATGTCTTTGGAAAGGAAATGATAACACCTACCTAGAAGGACTGTTGGACTATGAGCTAATAAATGCAAAATGGTAGCATGATGCATAGCACATGATACATGCTCAACAAATAGACATTATTAATATAGATAAGCATGTTTACTATAATCCATAGAAAGTCTCCCACGAACTGTCTTAGTTATTTGAAGAAATATGCTTATAACTTCTCTCATTCTCTTTTATCCCATAGAGTAGTTTAAATAAAAGAAAATACTAGTCTCACTTTTAATCTTCATAGATTTAAATATGAAAGATTTCCTTATACTTTATATTATGCTCTGATAGCTTTTTCATTCATTGAAAAAAGGACTGTGCTGCTACAGAATGAAAACATTGAATGAAAACTTCCATGATGCCTTATCAAATGAATTAATGAGTTTTAACAAACATAAAAGGAACATGCTGTGATTACTAGGATGCTTACAACATTACTAAGAAGGCTAATTTGCTTTTCTTTTTAGACAGGATTACTAGATTAGATCTGGGAAATACGACTAGTATGGCATAAATGAACTTTTGCTTGGTAGAAGGCTGGATCTTTCTTGATGTTCTTATGACAGTGTACAAGTGGCAATATGGGCCACAATAAAAACAGGCTGAATTGCCACATCTGACAGATCAGGTACCCATTAAGGGAGCTGGTAGTTGGTATGCTCTGAGACTGTCTATATTTCTATCTGTCTGGTTCTCTTCTTCTTTTAAATGGTTTGAATGAAAATATGGGTAGCATGTTTATCAAACGTGTGACTAGCATTCATTGTAAATCAAAAATTGTCTGTGGTACAAGAAATACAGCAGTAAATAAAAACAGACATGGTCCCTATCCTATCTTTAGAGCTATCAAACTAGGTTACAGAATTAAGAGCTAAAATGATTTCAGCAGGTTATAATAATGTAATTAAACTTAATTGGGATAAATAACTTGTCCTGTATTTGGGCAAAGATTTGGCTTAGCAACAAAACCTTTGAAAGAGACTTAGGATTTCAGTTGACAACATGCTCAATATCTTTCCAACAGTGTGATTCAACTTTCCCTCCAAAAAAGCTAATATGATTGAATCACTAACTGCAGTGACCCACAAAGCATGATTTCCTAAGACAGTATGTTTCAGAATCTTCTCGGGATGGGGAAAAGATAAAGGGTACATAGTTTGAAGCCATATGTATCTGGAGATCTAATAAGTTGTCTGCTTACACACAGGCGAATATCACTTACCCTCTTCCCGCCTGTCTCAGTCATGGTCTAGAATGAGGAAATTTACACCTTAAATATAATGTTTTGTTCTGGTAATAAGACAGATGTATCTTAAGCATACCTTGTGTAAAAGAAGTCTTTAATAATATTCAACTGAATGAGTGAAGAATATATGCAAATTCAGAGGCCAGTGGCTGGTTGGCACAAGGATTCAAAAATCAAGTCTCCTCTGAGAAAATGGAAATGTTTGCTAAGCATAGGATAATTATTTTCAAACGGCTGAAATGCTGCCATGTGGAAGATGGTTTACCCTAATTTGTTACTTACCCTGACAAATTAGATCTACGGCAGTGAGACACCTTTCGGTTCAACGTAAGGAAGAGTTTTCTAATGGTCAAAGCTCTTGGAAAGAGGATTGAGCCATCTCATGGGGAATTGAGCTGCCCTCAGTGAATTTCAACAGCTGTGCACACCAAAAGTAATTTGTCACTAAAAAGAAAATATTGTACTTTAAGAATGTATATCTGAAAAGAAATAAACCAGGGCAGAATCAAAGTTATGTCCTATGTCATTCTCAGTTGATTACACTCCAATATACTTTCTAAGTGAAAGAGAAGAATTGGTTTACACCAATTCTTGAATTGGCTCACACATGGGGGATACCTATGAGAACATGGGGCACATGTGAATGTTTTCTGGTGGTTTCTTGAGCTAGAGGGTGTGGGTGTTGTAAAAAAATTCTTTTAAGATGAATTTTTGTCCTATGACTTTTATTATCTAACATATTTTTCTTCCTTATATAAACACTATTAACATTGTCCCCTAAGCCATATATTTTTCTAAAGTTTAAGGGATGGTAAGAAACAGATTTTTATCTGTAACCTGAGGGAACTGCAATCTCTCTGTCTACACATTTATGTGTATATTTTACATAAACTAGACAAATTTGATTATTTCTGATAAAAAATTTTTGCAAAAAAGTTCATTACAGATTTATTTTGAAAAAATGATAAAAGACATATGGCTAAAGAACAAAATTTACAGCAAAATGTTTAAAATGGTTTTTCATTCTTTCTTGATTTGTTTGAGAGTTGGTTTGGCAAGACTGTGTAGCTAAGAAATGTTCAATATTTGCTGACTTAACAAGTGACTGAATTGTTGCTAATGTTCTCCCATATTTGGGGTAGTTATAATTCTCACACCAGAGGAGAAATTAGAAGATTGTTGCCTGCCCTAGTTTGCATATTTATATACAAAGGGAAGAAGAGGTAATCATATCTCCTTTCTTCTTCAGGGAGAAACAATAAAGAAACATGAATAAATAAAATGAACTAGCTGCGCTCTTCTCAATTTCAGATTTATATAATTTCTTATCTCTCTTTCCTACTCATTTCTCCTGTCTCCTAAACACAGTTTTCAGAATAAATGATACTGTTTGTATCATTTATAAAAGAAGACTGACCTATATGAGAAGTGTTTAAAACTCCACTACATTTTTATGCTGGAAATTATTAACAAACTTTTCTGAAAAGATAAAACCCATCAAATTTAGTTCTGTTGCTAAACATAGTTTAAGCCTGTTCAAATTCAACAGAGGTCAGAAAGGCTATTCTTCTCTTGGAGAACATTACACAAGGAGATCCAAGTGAAGATGGGTTATCAGGATGTGAAGAGTGGTTGCCTGTGGCCGAAGTTTGTAGAAATATGTTCAGAGATTTTCCTTTGAAAAAATGAGTCTGGAAAGTTAGATTTTTTGGAAAAAGGGTAATATAACACTTATATTCCACTTGCTAGAGTGTTAGTTTCTGAAGTGCTTTCTTCTACGGTCTCATACTTTTATCAGACATAATTCAAACATCCCTAAAATTTTGAAAAAATAAATTCTATATTCTATAAATATGAAAGTGAACATAACTCTTACTACATGGAAATTAGTCTGTGAATGACCTGGGAAGGACTTTAATGAATCAAATAAAAAATTCTTTAAGAAATGAAAAGATACATGCCTCCAATCTGATTACCATTCAACTGCCATCTAGGTATGATTTGGTCTCATCATTGTATTTGATACTAGCAGCTATGTGCCCTCCTTGAGTATTTTATCATGTTGGAGTCTCTTTGTTATGATCCTCTCATTGCTCCTATTTAGTCTCCTTTAATGACTTATCTTTGTGAGCTCATTCCTTAAGGTCCTGCCCTTAAAAACTCAGTTTTTGAAAAAGCAGTTATTGAATACCTTCCATGTGCCAATGACTATATTGCGTGCTAGGGATAAAACGAATGAGTACATGTGGTCCTACTCTTACAGAGCTTGTACTCTGTTGGGGAGAAGATGACACTAAAGAAAATATTTCAAAAATCATTAATTATAAATTTTGATAAGTGCTATGAAGGAAAACTATGGTACACTATTAAGAGCAATATAACAAGGGGACCTTATCGAGGCTAGGGAAGGTCTCTGAGGAACTGATATTTGAGTAGAGATCTGAATAATGTATAAATGAAAAAGTACATGGAGATACCAGGGGGAGTGGCTCAAGCCTATAATCCCAGCACTTTGGGAGGCTGAGATGGGCGGATCCACCTGAGGTCAGGAGTTCGAGACCAGCCTTGCCAACATGGTGAAACGCTGTCTCTACTAAAAATAGGAAAATTAGCAGGGTGTGGCATCGAGCACCTGTAATCCCAGCTACTAGGCAGGAGAATCCCGAACCCGGGAGGTAGAGGTTGCAATGAGCCGAGATTGCGCCTCTCTGCACTCCAGCCTGGGCGATGGAGCGAGACTCTGTCTGGAAAAAAAAAAAAAAGTACATGCAGAGGCCCTGTATTGGGAGGGAGGATGATATATGATGAAGGTCATCAAAGTTAGAGCACAAGAAATGGAAGGAAGAATAGTGTGGGAGGAGGATGATATATGATGAAGGTCATCAAAGTTAGAGCACAAGAAATGGAAGGAAGAATAGTGTGGGAGGAGGCTGAGGAGATTGCTATTCACATCATGTAGGGCCGGAAGGGAAGCTCTTTCACTTTCACAGCCTCAATTTTCAGTTCCATGTGAAAGACTCCTATGACTAGCTTAACTATTAGCACCAGAACTACATTTCTACACATGAATTGAATATGTACACATGAATGCTTTATGTCACCTTCAACTCAAATATATTTTATCTGGACAGCTGCAGCAATCTCCTAATTGGTTATCCAGATGCAAACCTCTGCTTTAATCAATAGAAGCCAGGACATACTAAGTTCAAACCGGAGAATAGGTACATGTATCTATGAAGATCAATAGGAATTCAATAGTTCAGTGCAACTCAGTCTTAGCACCTAAGATCTCCATTTGATGAGTTTTGTTTAAGTAATGTAAAAACTCCTTCCAAATTCTTAAATATCAAGTTCCGTAAATACTGAAAATTGTGTAAGTTAAAAATGAATCACTACAATCATACATTAAAATACATGACAGCATTGTTTTAGAAAGTGCACAATTTATTTACGTTTATGAGTTCATAATAAAGTGGATACTTAGGGACTTTAAAAATGAGTTAGGAGTTACAATTAGATGTAAAATTCTCAAATCTCGAAAGCTAAAATATTAAGTTCTAGAATTTTCTTAAAAACTCTTTCTTATGAAAAAGAAATTTGCATAGTTAAAAAATTATTATGTCCTTTCAAGGGAAAAAGGAGGAATTAAAAAACAGACACGTTGATGAAGGCAATGAGTTCTTCTCAGCTGGTTTACTCTCCACTGAAGATCAATATAGGATTATACTTTCTTTATTTATGGGAAGTGGTCACTGCTCTGTTTTCCCATAACCCTCAAAACAGAACAACAAGGCTTAAGCAAAATAACACAAGCCTTCACTATACTCTGCAGGCTTTACCATTTCAATATACTTCTAATCCAACTGCTTTCCCAACTATAAAGTTCTGTGAGTTAACTATGAATATTTTTAAATATTTTCCAGATTCATCAGGGAGGCTGCTTTTCTTCTCTGCACTGTAATCACACTGAGCTGCAATTAAAATAAACAATCAGTAAGTAGTTACTTTTTCTGTGTAAAATCTTAGACTAATACAAAGTAGAATGCATCACAACCTATAAGTATTGAAAATGAGGTTACTGGGAAGGGTTTTGTAAATGATCTTTTTCTTTTTGAGGCAGTATCCCTCTGTTGCCCAGGCTGGGGTACAGTGTGGTACTATTACAGCTGACTGCAGCCTTGACTTCCCAGGATCAAGTGATCCTCCTACTCCAGACTCTTGAGTAGCTAGGACCACAGGTGTGCACTGCTATGCCTGGTTAATTTTTATCTTTAATTTTTTTCAGAGACAGGGTCTCACTATGTTGCCCCTGCCAGCCTTGAACTCCTGGGGTCAAGCAATCTACCCACCTTGGTCTCAAAGTGCTGGGATTACAGGTGTAAACTACTGTGCTGGCCAGTGATCATGTTAAAATTAATTTCTATTTTACTCTTGAAACTTTAAAATGTCTATCACATTACAGAAATGCAGGCCAAATAAGATATTCTATGGCTCAGAGTGATAGAATTGTAAAAGACATTCCAGGTGGATGTAAAATATCTTGATAAAAGTCAATCAGAAAAGTTTCTAAAACACAAGCTAATGTGAGCCAACACAGTGCAAGGCTGGTAATAAAGTGATGATAGATAATAAAAAGTAAAGTCTAATAGAAAAATACTCTTTAAATGTTAGTAAGAATTGATAACATATACACACGGTAAAAAAAGATTTAACAGTACAAAATGGTAGAGAGCATAAAGTAAGTCTCGTTCCCACTGCTGTCTTTCATTCCATAGACCCCTCTCCAGATATGACCACTACTTCCAGTTTTAAAGTATATTTCTAGAAATATTTTAAATGAGAATATATGTATTTCTTCATTTATTTTCATTGAAAAATGATACAAGTATTATAGACACTTTTCATCTTTTTCTTCTAAATAATCTACCTTAAAAATAGCTCTATATTAGGACTATTAGACCATATTCCTCTTAATAGCTGCGAACTATTCCTCTGCATAAATACTCCATAATTTAACTAGTCTGCTACTGTTGAGTATTTGTATGGTTTTTTAAATCTTTTAAAATAAGCAACAATGCTTCAATCAGTATTTTTACATGTTTGCTTTCTGGCAAAAACGTTTCCAGGTGCAAGTATGGGTCAAAGGTTACATACATTTACAATTTTTGAAAGATACTGACAAACTGTGCTCCAGAGACTGTGACAACATGTATTTATATCAATAATGTGTGAAAGTGCCAGCACATTGCATTACCAAACTTTATGATCTGATAGGTGAAAAATGATGTGATTACAATTTAAATTTGCATTTGTCTTATAGGTGAGGATGAACATCCTTTTAAATGTGCAAAAGCCATCTGTCCTGCCTTTTGGCTGGAACTGCCGACTTCCAGTAACTCGCCAAAATGACGAACACAAAGGGAAAGAGGAGAGGCATTCGATTTATGTTCTCTAGGCCTTTTAGGTAACATGGAGCTGTTCCTTTGGCCACGTTTATGCGAATCTATAAGAAAGGTGGTATTGTAGACATCAAGGGAATGGGTACTGTTCAAAAAGAAATGCCCCATAAGTGTTCTCGTGGCAAAACTGGAAGAGTCTACAATGTTGCCCAGCTTGCTGTTGGCATTGTTGTAAACAAACTAGTTGCCGGGCGCGGTGGCTCAAGCCTGTAATCCCAGCACTTTGGGAGGCCGAGGCGGGTGGATCATGAGGTCAAGAGATCGAGACCATCCTGGTCGAAATGGTGAAACCCCGTCTCTACCAAAGATACAAAAAATTAGCTGGGTATGGTGGCGCATGCCTGTAATCCCAGCTACTCAGGAGGCTGAGGCAGGAGAATTGCCTGAACCCAGGAGGCGGAGGTTTTGGTGAGCGGAGATCACGCCATTGCACTCCAGCCTGGGTAACAAGAGCGAAACTCCGTCTCAAAAAAAAAAAAAAAAAAAAAAAAGAAAGAAAAGAAACAAACTAGTTAAGGGCTAGATTCTTGCCAAGAGAATTAATGTGCGTATTGAGCACATCCAGCACTCTAAGAGCTGAGATACCTTCCTGAAATGCGTGAAGGAAAATGATCAGAAAAAGAAAGAAGCCAAAGAGAAAGGTACCTGGGTTCAACTGAAGTGCCAGCCTGCTCCACCCAGAGAAGTGCACTGTGTGAGAACCAATGGGAAGGAGCCTGGGCTGCTGGAACCTATTCCCTATGAATTCATAATAAGTGTTAAAAAAAAAAAAGACCTCTGGACTGTTAGAAAAAAAAAGCCATCTGTCCTTCTTTCTCCATAAACTTCCTTTACATACTTGTCTACTAGACTGTAGCATTTTTTAAACTTAGGCATCCTTTATATGTGTTTAGGGCATTAGCCTTTTGTCATATAGGGTACAAATATTTTTCTCAGTTTGTCACTGACTTTATAACCTTTTCCGATATAGACATTTGAAACTGTGATCATATTTATTAATTTTTTTCATAGCTTCTAGGTTTTGTGTTCTTGCATTGAAAGGCTTCACCACACTGATTTAAAAAAAACTCCTATGTTAAAAGAACACAATATGGCATTGAACCATTTAGAGTGATACACTTAGAGTGGAAAAATAACGTATAGACAAAGTTAATCAGAAAAGGACATTTAGAGCAAAGTGAATCAGCATGTTTCAGGGACCGTACTGAACCAGTAACACGATGCTGCACTGCATTATGGTAAGTGTGATGTGTCAGAGATGATATAATGTTTAAATTTTCTTCATTTTGCTAATGTCATACATATAGTAGGATATTATTTCTAATAGCACTTTTTAGTTTCATAAAAAAATGAGAAGATTCAGAGAGGGCAAAGATAAAAATTTAAAAAAATGAAATACATGTCTTATAAACAAAGTTGACCACTTGGACTCATTTAAAACAGAAAAAAATATTATCTACAGGGAAGAAATTCATTTTTGGGTAAGGAGAAAGTGCTGAATAATTACCTTCCATCCTCAAATAAGAAGAGAATGGAAAGAGAAATGCTTAGGGAAAGATTTGTTACAGAAAAATTTGTGAAGTGGTTACTGACAAAGAATTTTAAAAAGGTTCCTCAAAATAATGGTGGAATCTGGGAGTCATGGTGGCTCCGGCCTTTGTCCTGGAGCTTGAGGAGGTGAGCCTACACGTTCAAGGCCAGCCTGGGCCAACATAAAAACCTCTCATCCACTAAAACAAAACAAAAAACAAATAATGGTGGACTCTTTGTTGTTTAAATGGAGAGTTTAAACAACAGAAGAAACATCAGTTATTAGACTGTGTAGGTTTAATTTTTTTCAGGGGAGAAACTAAACTAGATGCTAACTGGTTATATAATTAATGTCCTGTAATTGTACCTTTTTTACTATAGAACTCAAGGTAGTTGATTTTATATAGGCATTTTCTTTGCCATTTGCCTTAAAAAAGGTAAACATGAAACATTAAGGATTATGATACAGAAATTTAATTTCTTTTATGTCTGTCTGAATGTCTGCTTACCACTATGGGAAATGCTTTACATGTGTTAATTCTTTTGATCCTTTAATAACAATATGAGGGAGGTATTATCCTATATTAAACATGAGGAACCTGAGGCTTAGAGAAGTTGAAATTGCCCAAAGTCACACGATTACTTAATGGCACTGAGCGGTTTGTCTGACACCAAAACACATAGTCTCCAGATACTGTCCAGTGCACCTAACTTCTGTTACCTTATAATCTAAATATATTCTTGAATGATTAATTAGCTAACCCATTAGTTAATTCATAACTTCATTAGAAATAAATATTATTTGAAAAGGCTGTAATTACTTTCAAGAGGGAGAGGAACAAAAGAATAAATTATCAGTAAATTTTCTTCAAGTGGCATGCCACATTCATAACAGAAGAAGATTTAGAAAAATATATAAGCATCATGAACATAAACTAAATTCAGTAAGCAGAGTGGCTTTACTATGTATGAAATGCTGTAGTAGTTAAGAATAATATTAATTTTGATAGAAATAATACATTTATAAGCAAATATAATTAATAACATAGTAACTTGATTTGTTTTTGTTTTTCTTCCTGCCCTATCCATCCATTTCAAATGTCTGTTTCTGGTCTATCTTTATAATCACTGAACTGGTCTCATTTTATTCCTTGGAGGAGGGACTATTGCTTCTACTTTACCATGTAAGGTCCACTTCATTTGAATGGTGTGTGTGTATTAAGATAAATTATCCCTTAGTATTTCACTGATATTCTGCATTTTATACTCTATTTCCCACTGGATAACGTTTATATTGTACTTTAGATTTTTTGGTCATATGAAAATATGCATTAAGTAAATTAACCTGTAAGTCAAGGAATTTTTTTTCCACTGAAAAGTAAAATAAAAACAAAGGCAGTGCAATTTGAAATACTGCATTCAAAGCAATATTATCTACTTTCAAATCTGTTAGTGAATATCTGCCTAGTTTTAGACAGAATATAATTCTAGAGCAGTGCTGTGTAACAGAACTTTTCGTTATGACAGAAATGTTCCATATCTACACTGCCTAATATGATAGCCTTAGTTACATATGGCTATTGAGCACTTGAAATCTGACTAGTAGTATGACTGAGGATCTCAATTTTAAATTAAATTTAAATTAACTTAAATGTAAATAGTGGCCTGTGGCTAGAGGCTACCATAGTTAGACAGTATATTTCTTTTCTTTCTTTTTATTTATTTTTTGTTGAGATAGGGTCGCACTCGGCCAGGCTGGAGTGCAGTGGCACAAACATGGCTCACTGCAGCTTCAACTTCTTGCGCCTGAGTCATTCTCCTGCCTCAGCCTTCCGAGTAGTTGGAACCACAGGTGTGTGCCACTATACTCGACTGATTCTTTAATTATTTTGTAGAGACAAGGTATTGCCATCTTTCCCAGGCTATTCCGGAACTCCTGGCCTCAAGTTGTCCTTCTGCCTAGGCCTCGCAAATTGCTGGCAATACAGCTGTGAGCCACCATGCATCACTTATTTTTGTTTCCAATGTTTGCTTTTTCAACCTCATATGTTAAAGGGATTAATTTTAAAATATGTTAATCAAGTAAAAATAAACTATTAGTTCTCTGGGAACTTCTAAAAAACTTTTCTTATCTTTGAACTGTTTATTTTCCAGGAATAAGAGGATGCTCCCTACCTGCTGGGAAGCTGAAGCAGCTCTCTCTTCTGCCTGAGTTAGACGCCTTTGAAGTCTGTCAGCTTTTTCTTGATGCTCTAGAATTAGCTTTTCATTCTATTAAGGGGAAATAGAAAACAAGTTAGAAATCCGTATGTGACATGGAGATGTTTTGTGGGATAATCGGTGAAAAATCTGAACATCATTTTTCCATTTATAAAATACAAAGTCTATTATCTCCAAATTTACATTTTTCAAGTTATGAGCTTATTTAAAATACAAACTTGGTTTTACATTCTTACTAAATTGTTTTCTTTCACCCACATGCCAGCAAAGAAAGTGAATTAACAAATCTCAAAGCAAAATGACTCAGAAGAATAAGACTTTCACTTTGTGAAAATCACTGCTTCAGAATCACCTGGACTGTGAAAACATAGACTGCTGGGCCTTACAACCAGAGCTTTAGTAGGCTTGTGATGAACTGCTTCTGTATAGTTCCCCAAGACATCTGCATACTCCAGAGTCTATTAGGGTAAACAGAGTTATTAAGCACTGTTATGGGTTGAATTGTGTCTTAACCCCCAATACCTGTGACCTTATTTAGAAATAGAGTCCTTGCAGATGATCAAGTTGAGGTGAGATCATTAGGGTGGGCCATAATCCACATGACTGGTGTCTTCATAAAAGGGCAAATTTGGACAGAGACACACATGTACAAAGGAAAGACAATTTGAAGACACAGAGAGGACACAATCTACAAGCCAAGGAATGTTTGAGGCTACCAGAAGCTAGGAGGAAGGCATGGAACAGTTTCTCCCTCACAGCTCTCAGAAGGAACCAACAAAATGTCAACACCTTCATTTTGGGTTTCTAGCCTCCGGAACTAAAAGACAATTATTTTCCGTTGTTTTTGCTAAGCAGTTTGTAATACTTTGTTATGGTAAGAACTATACAGGCATCATGAATACAAAGCCATCACAATATAGTCATGCAGACAAGTCCAAATAATCTATCAATTAAAAAATGGATTAGTTCTCTCCATACTTACTAGTCTGATTATAGTATATCTGAAAAAATACTTTTGTACAACTAGAATTGTTAAATAGTTTTTCTGGCACTTATCTGAATGAGAAAATAATACGAGCCTAATCAGGAAGAGTTAGAAAAACACGTTTCTTATGAAGAACCAGAAACTTATAATTCCCATGTCCTAACATACAAGTGATAGAATGAATGTGATGGGTATTAAAGTAATATAAAATACTGAAATAACAGCATCCTGCTAAAATGAGCTTATTATATTTCTTATTGTGCCCAAAAGCAAAATTAAATTTTATGAAGAGAACTATATTGGTTGGTCCAATTTACCAAGATGTTTAAATATGTAGCCTTTAAATTTTAAGAAACACATCATATGCTAGAGAAAACTTGGGGGAAGAAATTCTATCATCTGTAATAATAATCTTCGTATTTACAATCAGACTTCACATACTTCTATACTGCTACCATAATGGTTGAGGAACAGTGCAGATTGGATAAATCCTAATATATGCAATTGTTCCTTTTCTATTGATCATTTTGTTTGCTTTTGATCTTTCTATATTATTAACATTGCTGTACTGAATATCTTCTTTTAATTTTTTTCATATTTTAAATTACTTCATTAGAACAGATATCTGGAAGTGGGAGCTACATGAAAGAGTATTTTAATAGCTATTCCTTTATTGTTTTCTAAATGCTCATATGAATTTATAATGCCATGAAGCTTAGGAGTAATGATTTCACTATAGCTCCTATAGTAGACCAAAAAGATAGAGTACACCATATACTCAAGGAAATTTCAACAAACATTTGAAGATATAACATCAAATGAAGAACTAGAGATCTAAAAATATCCAATCATAATCCAAAAATTGTTTACTTTTTTAACGCCTTAAGGAAAAAAACATGAACTCTTGCTCTCTTTAGCTTTAAGGCATCAATCTAAATATATTTTAATACATTCTAGGAGGCAAAAGCATTTTTTATGTGATGTGTCTTTTGTGATGGATTAAAACAAAATAAGATGAATGGGTTAACAAATAATTTGGGAGATGCATTAGAATAAAGGGGATCCTAATACATTCTCTGAAATACTGCACAAGGTCTATTGTTAAGTCAGAAATAAGAGCTCTACTTTTTATTATTTATACATGATGAATCACTGATGTTCAAGGCTTTTATTCACATTATATCGCGTGTGGGCTTTTAGGATTATGGATGATTTCTGTATTGTTATTTCCAAGTAGAGAAATAATTTGGATTTGGCTCAGGTAAAATTCTATAACATGTGTATCAAGCTGCAGCAGAAAGCACTTCCCAGGGGAGTCATTATCTTACCTCAACTACCTTTTCATTTGCTATTTCCAGCTGAGAGAGCAGCTCTTGGGTATGAAGTTTCTGTCGACTCAGCTCACTCCTATTAATCAAAAGAGAGCACCAAAATCCATTAATATAATTGTTCAAAATAAGAATCTTTATTAGCAAGATACATGTTCATGATTTGAACAAAAATACCATCTTGATGTGCAAAATAAAGTCACTTACTAATAGACCATATCTCGAAGGACTCATTTATTTCTTTTTAATAAAATATATATTCTAGAGGTTAGTTGCACAACAATGTGTACAATATGTAATACTACTGAATTATACACTTAAAAATACTTAAGGTGGTAAACTGTATGTCTATTTTATAATTTAAAAAGTTTTATCACAATTAAAAGGTAAATTTTGTTATGTATATTTTGCCAAACTAAATAAAGCAAAATAAAAACACATATTTTAAAAGTACAAAAGTATCTTCAATATTATCTTGAGATACTAGACATTAAAATAAAAGCATACTCATAAAAATTTGTTATTACAAAATCTCCTAAGCTAGTGTGCTACTTAACTATAGTATGCATCTTTGTTCTTGTTTTTTGAGATGGAGTCTCACTCTGTAGCACAAGCTGAAGTCCAGTGGCATGATCTCAGCTCACTGCCATCTCTGCCTCCTGGGCTCAAGCAATTCTTGTGCCTCAGCCTCCCAAGTAGGTGGGACTACAGGTGTGTGCCACCATGCCTGGCTAATTTTTTGTATTTTAGTAGAGATGAGGTTTCATCATGTTGCCCAGGTTGGTCTTGAACTCCTGAGCTCAAGCGACCTGCCTGCCTCAACCTCCCAAAGTTCTGGGATTTCAAGTGTGAGCCACCACGTCCAGCCTTAGTATGCATTTTTAAGATTCATGTACAGTGCTTTTTAGGGGAGCTCAACTCTTACAAATTTAAGAAATTTAAGGAAATGTTAATTACTCCAGTATCACTTCAGCACAGTACAGTTAAAATTCTTATTTATGTTTTGGTTGTCTATGTACTGCATTTTACTCATTCATATCCTTTATGCTTCATTAGCTGAAATTATCTTATGCACAGAACTGTCTTTTTGTTGTTGTTCAACATGTAAGTATTATATTGCTTTTAGCCACAAGTCACTTCAAGAGTTTCAGGTTAAGGGTACATACAATGTAGCTTTAAAATAACTTAATCAGAAAAAAGATCAGATAAATTTCTGAGTATTACATATAGTGAATCAATGACATTCAAAGCTTTTATTCACATTACACTGTGTGTGAACTTTTAGAGTTATGGATGGTTATGGATGATTTCTGTATCATTATTGCCAAGTAGCGAATTAATTTGGATTTAGCTCAGGTGAAATTCTTGATTCAGTATTGGCTTTATCCTTCAACCTTACTTGTGCTTCTTAAATCAATTAACATACTAGCACTTCCAAAATAACTTCAGCTTTGATTTTTTTCAAATAAGCCAGGCAAGCAACCTAAACATTTGGTAAGCATTTCAAGTGTCCTATATTTGAATGAATAGTTGTTGAAAATAGCAAGTATTTGTTATAAATATATACAACAAAAAGCAATGTCATCCACTATTCAGTTATGCAAATAGTTACTGAACATTCCTTATGGGCCAGGTGCAAGGTATGTGGTGGCAAACATAGGTGCTGTCATCACAGAACTGACAGACTACAAGGGAGATCAGTTACTCTAACTCAGTGATTTCATAAATACAGGTTCACTGACTATGAGGAGTTTGAGTATCTATGATTAATTCCATGACAGAAAAACACAAATGTTTTGTTTTAGCTTTGAGTGATAATGATAAAATAGAATAAATTCTTATGCTTACTTTAAAGTATCTTGTGCAGCTTAAAGTTACTGCCCACCAGCCCCGCAACATAAGAAAAACCCGACTAAACAATGATGAACAGGCTGGGCGCGGTGGCTCAAGCCTGTAATCCCAACACTTTGGGAGGCCGAGGTGGGTGGATCACGAGGTCGAGAGATCGAGACCATCCTAGTCAACATGGTGAAACCCCGTCTCTACTAAAAAAAATACAAAAAATTAGCTGGGCATGGTGGCGCGTGCCTGTAATCCCAGCTACTCAGGGGGCTGAGGCAGGAGAATTGCCTGAACCCAGGAGGCAGAGGTTGCGGTGAGCCGGGATGGCACCATTGTACTCCAGCCTGGGTAACAAGAGCGAAACTCCATCTCAAAAAAAAAAAAAAAAAAAAGATAAACAAAATGACTAATGGCCAGTTTTCTAAGTCAAATGCAACTAAAGGTAAATGCTATGCATATTCGTGGCAATGAAAAATAAATTGTGAGTATAATTGAGATTAAGATGAAACAATGATCACATTTATAAAGTTAGACAACATTCAGTTTACACAAAACCTTTTCAGGAAAAACACCTACTTGTATAATTTCATGCCTAAACTAGTCACTTACTTACTCAAGACAATTAATCTGAATGATGAATAGTAATGATTTTCCAGAACATTTAAGATCACAAAGACACAAATCATTAAATGAAAGTATACTTTAAGTTACCCTTAATCTATGTAAATATTGACCTCTTTATATATCAAGCTCTGTCTCCCCCATTGGATGGTGAGCAACTTTGTAATTCATCTTTGTACTCAACAAAACCTGGCAAATAATAGTGAAAATAACGATGATGGTGATAATAACAGCAAACATTTCCATAGTAGTATTTGTTTACAATGTGTCAGGCACTATTCTAGGCATTTCATAAATTAACTTAATATTTCGTTTGGATGACTAACATATAAAATCTCCATTTTTACATATGAGCAAATTAAAAGACAGAAACTAAAAAAGTAAGTAACTTGCCTAGGGGTCACATAGCTTGTCAAGCTTTTTTGTTTGTTTTTTGTAGGTTTTTTTGAGATAGGGTCTCACTCTGTCACCCAGGCCAGAGTGCAGTGGCACAATCACGGCTCACTGTAGCCTCCATTTACCAGGCTCAGGTGATCCTCCTGCCTGAGCCTCTTGAGCAGTTGAGCCTATAGGTGCATGCCACTACGTCCAGTTAGTTTTTTTTTTTAATTTTTTGTAGAGACAGGATTTTGCCATATTGCCCAGGTTGATCTAGAACTCCTGGGCTCAAGCAATCCTTCCACCTTGGCCTCCCAAAGTGTTGGAATTACAGTTCTGAGCCCACTGCATCTGGCTGCTTATCAGTTGTAGAGTCAAGATTAAAAAAAACTTGGTACTTTGATCCCAAAATCTGTGGTCTTAACCACTGCCCTATACTGCAACATGGCAGGCAAATGCTGAAAGTTTGTTGAATGAATGAACACACACACACACACCCCGAGTATGTGTATGTATACAGGTATTAGGCCTTCTAGGAATATGAAATTTTATATACTTACTTGGAAACCTAACAATTTTTACTTCTGACTTCTTCCCTAAAAGTCCAGTCTTGTATTCAAACTTAACAAGCCTAATACCAAGCTTTTTGCATTGTCTCACAAATCTACTTCTCATCCTGCTGCTCAATTTTTATATTGACATCTCTGCCCTAGGTGTCGAGGTTAAAAAGCCGAAAGTCAACTCCTGTTTCTCACTTTGTGGCTTTTTTTTTTTTTTTTGAGACAATCTCGCTCTGTCTCCCAGGCTGGAGTGTAGTGGTGTGATCTGGGCTCATTGCAGCCTCTGCCTCCTGGGTTCAAGTGACTCTCCTGCCCCAGCCTCCCAAGTAGCTGGAATTACAAGCACCTGCCATTCTGCCTGGCTGATTTTTGTATTTTTAGTAGAGATGGATTTTCACCATGTTGGCCAGGCTGGTCTCAAATTCCTGACCTCAGGTGACCCATCCACCTCGGCCTCCCAAAGTGCTGGGATTACAGGTGTGAATCGACTGCGCCTGACTTCTTACTTTGTCTTAAATGAAACATCTCATTTACCCCAAAAGAGACTCTCTCTTCCATCTATTTTTCATTCCTACTCAGTGTTGCCATCCCAACTAAAGTTTTTAGAACTTAATTCTCAGATTATTGTAATAACGAACTGCTTGGGCTTCTCAGTATCAAGTGAAACAATATATGTAAAGTACTCTAGCACGGGGCATATGAATGTACTCAACTAATATAGTGGGTTTTCCTCTCTAAACCACGTATCTCTAGCATATTTCTCTTTCTAAAACACCACTTTAATAATTTGCTTCCTTGAGCAATAATCTTCAATGGCTATCAGCTACTGGACAAAATGGTCCAAATTCCTGAGAATGTCATTCAAGATCCTCCAAAATGTGTAATTTATCTTTCCCACCTTATTTCCAATAAGAAGAACTTTCCACACTTCAGTGGGGCTCACACTGTTTCGAAAACAAACTGCATATGTATTACCTTCAGGATCAGGTTTATATCATTTTTTAGATCATCTTTTTCAGATTTCCCACTAAAATCCTGCCCATTCTTTTTTTTTTTTTTTTGAGAGAAGGAAAGAAAAAAAAAAAGTGAAGGAGAGGAAGAAAGAGGAAAAAAAAGAGAGAGAGAGAACGAAAATGTTGCTTTATTCTAAAAAATGGGTATTAATAATGGCCAATCAATATTTTATTTAAACCTATGAGTAGGTGTGATGTGGTATTGACAAGAATGTATATTTTGTGTATTTAAAGTGGAGAGCTCTATAAATATTTATTGTTTACTTGTTCCGGATCTGAGTTCAAGTCCTGGATGTCCTTATTAATTTTCTGTCTCATAGAGTCTAAGTCACCATGTATCTGGGTGTTAGAATCATTAGCTCTTATTGTTGCATTGATCCTTTTACCACTATATCTTTGTTGCTTTAAAATCTATTTTATCAGATGCGAGAATGGCAACTCCTGCTTTTTATTTATTTATTTATTTATGCTCTCCATTTGATTGGTACATCTTTCTCCATCCCTTTGTTTTGAGTCTTTGTGTATCCTTGCATGTAAAATGGGTCTGGATGTAGCATACAGTTGGGTTTTGCTGTATCTTCTGATTGGGGGATTTAAATTTAGGATTACTGCCATTTGAATGTTAACTGGATATTTTGTCCATTCGCTGATGTAAATTCTTCTTT